TGGTGGAAGTGGTCTCCAGCTACAAGTACTTGGGTGTACACATGAATGACAACCTCAGCTGGAGCAACAACACCACCAGCCTGATCAAGAAAGCTCATCAGAGACTCTACTTCCTCAGACGGCTGAGGCGAGCTGGTCTGGGAAGCTCAGTCCTCACCTCCTTCTACAGGTGTGCAGTGGAGAGCATCCTGTGCTCGAGCATCAATGTGTGGCATGGAGGCTGCACAGCTGCAGAAAGAAAAGCTTTGCAGAGAGTGGTGAAGGCTGCACAGAAGATGTTGGAGTCAGTCTCCCCACCATCACAGACATCTACACCTCCAGATGCAGGAAGAGGGCCACCTGCATCATGAAGGACCCCACCCACCCAGCACACACACTTTTTGCCCCACTCCTCTCAGGAAGGAGGTTAAGGAGCATTAAGTGTAGAACCACTAGACTGAGGAACAGCTTCTACCCTGAGGCTGTTAGACTCATGAATCTCTAACTAGAATAATCACTGTGAAAAACCATATCATGTTGCTGCTGATCTGTTTCATGTTGCTGCTGATCTGTTTCAATGTTGATGTGTTCATGCGTGCACATCTGCTCACAGACTCATGTTCATGTTTGTGCTGATGTTCAATGTTTTATGTTATGAGTGCTTAGTGTATATTTAGTTGATGTTTTTCTTAGTTCATATCTTAGATGTTATTACTGTTTTTCTTATACATTTTATTGTTGGATGTAACTGGGACCCTGTGTACATAATTTCGCTCCACCACATGTACCACATGAGGTGCGAATGACAATAAAGAAACTCTGACTCTGACTCTGACTCTGATTTATTATAACTGTTATTATATTTATTATAACTGTTATTTATTATTATATTTATTACAAATGTTGTTATATTTATTATAACTGTTGTTATATTTATTATAACTGTCGTTATATTTATTATAACTGTCATTATTTATTATTATATTTATTATAAATGTTGTTATATTATAAATGTCGTTATATTTATTATACATGTTATATTTATTAAAATATTCATTATAACTGTTATTTATTAATATATTTATCATAACTGTTATATTTATTATAACGGTTGTTATATTTGTTATAACTGTCGTTATATTTCTTATACCTGTTATTTATTATTATTTTTATTATAACTGTTGTTAGAGCAGAAAGACTTTGGAGTGCACATGTGCAGCTTCACTCCTCTGTGGGGGGTCCCCCTGAAAATCTCCGCTCTGAGACCTGGACTCAGAAACTTTCAGTTTCAGAGAGGACGAGGATGTTGTCTGGAAATGAACTTTTCACGTCGTGTAAACGTGAGACGGGTCCTCAGTTAGAAGAAGACCAGCAGGACTTTTGGATTTAGTTCGATGTTCAGCTGCTGCAAATACGGAGGGAACAAGTTCCCACTGGTCTGAGCGCTAAAACAAAGCTTTAGTAAACAGACTGTTACACAGTTTATATGAAATATTGGACCGTGGTCGGAGGGTTTACACAGAACAGATCAGGAACGCCACTCAAGGTTTTAACGGGTCACGGAGAGTTGGACTTTAACGGCCGACCTGCTGATTTTATCTCTGTTGCTTTTTACACAGGAACAGTTGAGACGAAGGTTTTAACAAATATACACCAAATGTTTGACAGATGATGTCACACTTAGTTTTGAAGGGTCTGAAACTTTTAACACACAAATTACTTCCACGATCTTTTAGGTAAAATTGCAAATTATACATAAAAAAGTGATTTTTTTGGTCTTCTTTCACCTAGTCTGTGCTCAAAATAAAAAAATATATATATTTTTTTAAAGTTACGTTATTCTCTCTATAAAACACTGTAGAAACATAAAAACCCACACGTTCATCAGAGTCTTCTGCCACATTTTTACAGTTTGAGGCTTATTTTCTGTCCGCCTCTCATTAACTTGGCTGTCAGGGAGTGACAGACACAGGCGTGTGGTTCCCGCGGTTACCACAGTGAGCCACTGGTAGCTTTAAAATGCAAACATTTTTATTTTTCAGAAAATGCTATGTTGGCATCCATCAACAAAATGTTGGGTTTAATTATTTTGGTGCAATTAATGAGTAAAAATCAAAACAAACCTTCAGTAAATTAAAGCTTGAAGGGCAAAATGGGGATCCATGTACCAGGATTAATTGTCATGGTGCCTTTGTTTGGTTTAATGGTGATTCTGTGAGCGTGCACCTCTCAGGTGTGCACGTGCAGCCATTACTTACCCCTCAAAGGAGTACTTGTTGGTGTTGGGCATGTCCAGGATGTCCATTAGACCCTGGTTTCCTGCAGCGCAGGGGCCAAATTATTGTTAAACACTTTTTACAAACATAATGACGCCACACCAACACTGAGAACTGACGCTCGCTGAAGAAGCTGAAGAGTTTGTACTGTTAAAAAAGCTGAAGGTTAGTTAGCTACAAGAAGCTAAATGCTACGTAAAGAAGAAAAATGCTAACGAAAAGCAACAACATGTGAACCAAAAAAAGTTAAAAGTAGCAAAAAGTCCAACTGAAAGGTTTGGAAATGCTAGATGTTGCAAAAAAGGAAAATGTAGCAAAAGGCTAGCTAAATGTAGCAAAACAAAGCTAGAAGCTAAAAAGCAAATGCTAACTTCAAACAAAGCAGCAAAAGCCAAAACTAAAACCAGATAAAAATACAATTGTTGAGCAAAACAAGAGAAATGACACTTTCTGTGAAAAAGCAGAGACTGCTCTGATGTTAAAGCTGAAAGAAGCAAAACACTAGCTAAAAAAAAAAAAGAATGCTAGCTAAATGTAGCACACTGTAGTTAAAAGCCAAAGTAAGGCCAGCTAAAAACTACAAAAAAAGTAGCTAAAGCTAAAAGTGAACGTCTCACCTGACGATCCTGCAACGATCGCTTTAAGCTTCCTTTGGTGTCTGCAACACAAAAAACGTGGGTTTGATGCACGTCTCGGCTGATTTCAGATCACCCAGTCTTCAAAAAGCAAACGGCGTGAAGGACTCACACTCTGCGATAATGCCAGTTCATTGTTACGAACAGGATCCCTGCCAAGCACAGCAGCACCGCCAGGATGATGATGACCAGCTGAGGGAGGAACAACGGCTCAGAAACAGCAGAACAGAACAACGTGCGCAGAAGAGCGAGCTCGGGGTCGCAGCCCTGCAGACCTGCAGCGTGGAGATGTCATCAGGCAGTTTGTCACCAACAGCCGGCTGAACGTCCACAACGTTGTAGGTCCTGAACAGGTTCCTGAGCTGCTCCTTGTTCTCGTCGATCATCTGGATGACCCTGCAGCACATCAGGAGCCGGAGTTACACGCTGCACCACACCAACTGTACGCACGAACGTAAAACCCCACGGCTTTGGAACAGAAGCGCACGAGACCTTTCAACGTCCAGGATGGTGTTGGTCTGATTGTTGACGACGTGGATGAGCATGTCGGTCTGAGCGTAGCTCACTCTGCCCTTTTTGTCCACGTGGAACTGAATGTCACAAACGAGACGAGATGCAGTTTATTAAACAAGATTTTTTTTTGAAAACAGTAAAACATGAGAAATTACTTTTACTGTAGAAGTGCTGAGCCGAAGTCTGCGGAAACTGAGTCGTTGAAGCAAAAACACTACAAGCTAAACCCCCAAAACCTAAATGCTAAATAAAAGTAGCTAAAAGCTAAATATACCAAAAGGCTAACTAAAAGCTAAAAGTAGAGAAAAACAGACAGTTTTCTGAAGCAGAAGGATTTGAAGCAATCTTAATGTACCGTAATTTCCGGACTATAAGCTGCTACTTTTATCACACGCTACGGCTAATTTATGGATTTTTTTTTTTTGACAGGGCTAACGAACTTCATGCAGCTAAAACATTTAGCCTCGTCACATCCGGACGCTCAAATAGCTGCACAATCCATGTCTCTCTAGGGGGCGGGTCCTCGTGACTACCTGTATAAATAAAAGTTAAAAAAAACGACCGGTAAAATTCCCGAACAGGTCACAGAAAGTGACGTTGAGCGACTACGAAAGAGAAACTGAAGACGTGTGTGATGAAGTTTTCCTGAGGCTGTTCAACACTGAAGAAGACGACTTTAGTGGTTTTAGTGCACAGGAGGAAGATGGCCATCAATGACTTCCTGCTACTCTATTTCATTTTTAACCAGCCGTGTTACAGGCACTGTTCAGAAAAAATAATAAAAAAATTCTTGTACATTTTTGTGTTTATCAGTACGTATTTAATTAAAAGTAAAAAAACTTTCTGTGTAAATATCTCGTTACAACCTGCAACTTACAGACAAGTGTATCCTAAACATGCGCAACAGTTTTTGTTTGATTTTATTTAGTGGGCGTGGCTTATATTCAGGTGCACTCAGGTGTCTGCAATTACAGTATTTCTGTGTGGAAACTGTTGTGGCTGAAGTTTAATATTTTGAAAAGAATAAAAGTTACAAACACCAAAAGTCAGCACTCATCTCCTGAATGACCTGAACTTCTCGACTATGAATAGCTAAAATAGCCGAAGTAGTTCGATTGTAAAAGACAGATTAAAAAAGCAAACGAAGCAGCCGAACCTGGATGTCGTCCAGGTTCACGATGGCACCGGTGATGTTGGAAAGGAGGCCGATGAAATCGTCCTGGTTCTCCCGAACCCAGTCTGGAATCTCGTTAAAGACTATCTTGACCCTCTGGTCGTCTCGGAGGATGTAGATGTTCACGTTGGAGGTGGCGCTGTGCCCGGCGAGATCACAGGCTAAAATCTCCAGCTGAAAGTAGCCCGGATTGTAAGACGTGAAGAGGTCGTAGGTGCGGATGATTCCATCTGCCAAACCTGTCGCAGTGATGGAACACAGAACCCAACGGTCAGATGTACGGATAAAACTATTAAATTAAAACATCCTGGAAGCGGTTTTAACTGCTCACCAATGATGAAGATGTTGCCTACGTCTTCACTGCCGTTGCTTTGGGTCTGGAAGTAGCGGATCGTAACGATATGGTACTGGACCAAGCTGTTGTTACCGATGTCGTTGTCTATCGCCAACACCTTAATAAGCTCTGAGCCCACTTTGGCATTCGCTGCGACCCCTGAAACAAGAAGGACCATTATTCTGGTTCTGCACCGGCTGACCAACCCGCTCCTGCAGCGACGGCTCACCTGCGGTGTATTCGGCCTTCGTGAAGCGCGGAGTCTGGTCGTTGATGTCCTCCAGCTGGATCTGGACTTCCAGCAGGCTGGGGTCAAGAGTGGGGTCCAAGGCTCTGGCCTGTATTGACCTCTGACCTCTGGGAGGAGTCCAGCTCCGGTTGCTGGAAGCCTTGATGATGATGGAGTAGGCCGGTACTTCCTCCCTGTCCAGCACCTTGAGCACCCTCAGTTCTCCGTCCAGACTCAGGCCAAAGTTTCCATCGTTGTTTCCGGCTTCAGGAAGACAAGAAAACAGTTTGTTCAGGATGGATCCATAAAAACGTCTTCAGCTTTTGAAACTTTAAAGCTTTGATGTCCCACACAATGAACCCACAGTAAATTAGTTTCCTCCATCCTTGGGTTTTGGACTCAAGACATCAATCCAAGTCAATTAACGGGGTTTTAACATAAACTGCAAAATGACGTAAATGTGTGTGACTGATACTACACAGAAGGTTACTACCTAAAGGCGTACACTTAAAAGTAGCAAAAAGGATAGCTGAAGCTAAAAGTAGCAAAAAGGCTAGCTGAAGCTAAAAGTAGCAAAAAGGATAGCTGAAGCTAAAAGTACCAAAAAGGATAGCTGAAGCTAAAAGTAGCAAAAAGGATAGCTGAAGCTAAAAGTAGCAAAAAGGATAGCTTAAGCTAAAAGTAGCAAAAAGGCTAGCTGAAGCTAAAAGTAGCAAAAAGGCTAGCTGAAGCTAAAAGCAGCAAAAAGGATAGCTGAAGCTAAAAGTAGCAAAAACGATAGCTGAAGCTAAAAGTAGCAAATAGGATAGCTGAAGCTAAAAGT